TGGCAGTTCCCAGCTCAGTTTCCAGTCCTGATCAGCAGCCACCTTCAGCTCAGTTTCCAGTGTCCCCTGATCAGCAGCCACCTTCAGCTCAGTTTCCAGTGTCCCTGTCAGCAGCCACCTTCAGCTCAGTTTTCCAGTGTCCCTGATCAGCAGCCCTTCAGCCAGTTCACCTGGATCAGCAGCCTCCTGTAGCCCAGTCACCACTCCACCACCACTTCACCTCACAGTTCAGTCACCATGTCTCAGTTCACCCCGCTACCATGCTCAGTCGCTACCCAATCAGGATCTTTCAGCTTTGTTACGTCCATCCCAGTCAGTAGCTCAGTAGTGAGGAATCTTAGCGTTGTCTCTGCTAATCAGCCCTCATCTCACCCTCAGCCAGGGGTCCCTATTGCCTCTGGCCCTGCATCTACTCCGCTGGAGGGCCCGAGGAGCCCGTCCAGCTCAAATTTCGTCAGCTGGGGGTTCGGGAGAACCCAGCCAGGCCTCAGTTTCGTCTGCTGGGGGTTCGGGTGAACCCAGCCGGCCTCATGTTTCGTCGCTGGGAGCCCTTGCGTCAGGGCCGAGTCGGACCCGTCCGCCTCAGTGTCGTCAGCTGGAGGGACCGCCAGCCAGCGAGCCCTCGTCCGGCCTCAGCCACGTCAGCTGGAGGGCGAGGAGCCCGTCCAGCCTCACGCCCGTCTCGCTGGAGGGTCCGAGGAGCCCCCCAGCCCCGTCTCCGCTGGAGGGTCCTCGGGGACCCAGCTTCAGCCATCCGCAGCACTGCTGATGGTCCGGGGTGGTTCAGCCACCCGTCTCCTGCTGGACGTCCGGGCCCGCGACTTTTACATCATCACCTGGGCCGCCCGTCCTTCGCTGCCTGTCAGAGTTCCGCTCGCCGTAGTCCGGCTTCATGCCAGTGCTGCCTGCGTCCGGCTCATCCGTGTCTTCATCCACGCCTGGTCCGGCCTCCGTTCTTCATCCACGCCTGGTCCGGCCTCTCGCTCTCTGGTCCCTGCCGCCTTCGTCTGCGGTCCTGCCTCGCCTGGTCCTGCGGTTGCCCACAGTTTAAAGGTTGTAGTGATGGTGGTTGTGATGGTGACTGAGCTAATCCTCCTGAGCCTTCTGAACACGAGAAAAACTGCTGGAAGGGCTCACCTGAGCCTCCCGCTGACACAGGAACGGGTGCCGGCACCAGCTGAACATCAACCCTCCCACCCGGGGAACTGAAACGGGTGGAGGGGAACGCTGGGCCCGAGCTACCCTAGGAGCAGAAACAGGAGGGAGAAGCTCAGGAAGGGTCTCAAAATGCCCAATATTGCCAACTGGGTCTGGGCATATAGTCTTAGCAGAGTGGGGAACCTCAGAAACATTCAACTGGGACACAGAACAGTCACTGGGAAGAGCCACAGTCTTAATAGATTGTAGAGAGGTGCAACTAGAGTCCTTAAATGTCCTTGGGGAACAGACAGCCCCTTCCTTCAGAGAGCCTGAGTTACAGCCTGCAATTTCTGTCCCTACCAACTGCCTGCGCCCTTGCTGAAAAGTACATGGCTGAAAGGCTGGCTTAGAAACATTAACCACCTCCCTTTCAGCTGACTTGAAAACAGAACTTGAAGCCTCCGGAAATTTCACAGCAGTTCGAACATTTCTCCCCCCAGATTTGAGTTGAGTAATCTTGGTCATTTTAACACTGGGTTCAGATTGTGCAGAATGAAAACAGGTTCTTAAATCCTCAGAGCAGGGGTTCACAGGGTTAACAAACACAGACTCAACTACCTGTAAGTTAGTAGATTTAGATCCACTTGCATGGCAGGTAGTCTTCAGAATCTTAGGGGTGGATTTATTGTTTGTTACGTTCATGAGTTCAGGAGGAGCATGAGAAAGACAGTCTTTGTTGCTCACCAACTTGTTGCTGACTGTCCAGAGGAAGCGGAGCGACGGCTGCATGAGCGGCGCTCACTCTGGGAAGAGGGAGGTAAGCCAGACTGCGAATCCTCCTGCAGACCGGGCCGAAAGTCTTTCCGTGGGACAGGCTGGGATGAAGAGGCGGGAAGTTTGTGTAGCTCTGAACGTAGAAGTCCCAAAAACAAAGGATTGCAGTGGAGTAAGCCCAGTGTCTTCCACCACATAATCCTTCTTTTGTCGCTGCTTGCCCCTCCTGCAGGGCCTGAATTCGGAGAGCAGCGGTGGAGTGACACCAGAAAACGGAGGAGCTACTGCCGTCGAGGGAGAGCGCTTGGCCCCTCGCATCCCTGACGGAACAGCTGATGGAACGGCGGTAGCCATCGCAGTTTGGAAGCTTCAGGGCCCACCCAGAGCCAAACGAGACCCATCGAATGGTGACTCGTGCACCCAGGCACACCTAGCCCCCTGCCTCTCCCTCTCCTTGAGGAAGGTGGAAACTGCGGGTCGCCGATACCATACGGAGTCTGCTGGATCCATTACTGGTCGCGTCGTTCTGTCAGGGCTCTGTGTGCGCGTAGGCGGAGGGGAGGATCCAAGTGCAGGACTCGAACACAGAATTGTAAATCAAAACCACAGCTTTATTGCTGACATGAGAAACGAACGTGAAGTGCCATGAAAACAGAAACCAATAACACACAGGCATAAACTGAGGGTACGACGCGATACCAAGCATGGGAAAACACAGGGCTTAAATACACAGGGTAGTAATGAGGGAATGGGCAACAGAAGGGAGACACAGCTGGGGGAGATCAGGGCTAACGAGACAGGGGGAACAAAGCTACACACACTAACCTGTTACGGCCGAGACCGTTTTCAGACGAGTGACAGGACTCAAACGCAAGACGCCGAACAGCTCGTAAGTATATTTTAAGAATAATGTTTAATGTTTACACAAAATATTCATAAACAAAAGGTGAGCGTAGACGTTAAACTAAATAATGATCTGGTCCGGGTCAGAGAGGACAGCTATTCCGGGGATTGGACTGGAAAGCAAGTCACAAAAGGTCCAGGAAAAGGTCGGGGTCACTGTAACAGAATGCAGAGGTTCAAACATAGATAAGGAGGCTTATGAATATGTTGTTTGGCTCAGAATCCTCCTTCGTACTGCGTACTTGCCAACGGAGGTCGGAGATGACATAGAGGGGTGAGTAGTCCGGGTGTGTAAATCCAAAAAACTCCTGGTGTGGAGGCAGAGAGGCAGGTAGGAAATTTTGGTAATAGCCTGAGGGACTGCCAGAAGGTCCAGCATCCAAGTAGAAGCTCTTCGCCAGGGGTTGACAGTTAGGTGTAGCTGAAAAGGAAGGCGCACAAAAAACAAACATGCAGTGAGGCAAGGTGATACAAAAAAACACGTAGGGAATTTATGGTGGTGGCCCTGCACTGACTGATGTTTAGCAGAGAATCTGGCGAAGAGAGATTGAGTACGCTGGCCTTATGAGTCCCCGGCTAATTACCCACAGATGTAAGCGATCAGCAAAAACACTGAGGCCCCTCCCAGGGGTGGAGACGCCGCCTCGGAGGGAGACACACTGGCACACACCCGGACCATGACACTAACCTAAGACACCGACTTTCACAATAAAACATGAAACACTAATAATAAACATCACTACAACAAGAGAATGAGAAAACAATCCAAAACACCAAGATAACTGAAACACAAAGTACCTGAGAAACAAAGAATAATCCATGACAAAAGTAAACCAAAACATAAACTCAATTGCTGGGTCCAACGGACCCAGAACCGTGACAACATCTTTGATTCAGTGATGTCTCTGTTTGGAAAAGATGTGGAGCAAAACATCATAGCTCTGATCACACACTCAGATGGAAGCAGGCCTGAAAACCCTCTTCAAGCTCTTGAAGCTGCAAACATTAAATGTGCCAAAAATGAGGACAATCAGCCTGTTTACTTCCTGTTTAATAACTGCCAGCATGAAGAGCAAATGGAGGAAAACACAAATTTTAGAAATTCATGGGAACTTACACAGACAAACATGGATCATTTGACAGACTTGTTGGGAAAATCTAATCCTCAAAAACTGGTGAAAACAGCCGAAGTGTTAAATGAACGAATTAGACTGAAAGCCTGCATCCAAAACCTGGAAGACAGAATCGAGCTGGTTGAACTGAAACAAAGAGAAATCAGACAGATCCGAGAAGCTCTGAAGCAGACAAATCACAGAAGTAAAATGGAAATTGAGAAATTAGTGAGTCTTTTGGAAAATCTTGAAAAGGAAATGAAAGTGCTGACAGCAGAAAAGGAAAAGTGGCTAAGTGACTCCTACCACCATGCTGTCAGACTGGAGGAAATCGCTCTGAAAGCTGATTCAGCATCCACTGTTGTTCACTTGGACTTCCTGATTGAGAAGATGAAGGAGGAAGGAGACACAGACAAGGTCCAGAAACTGGAGGAGATGAGGAGAGAGGATAGAGGAACCAAAGAATCACAGAGGTACAAACTTGGTCAAACAACATCAGCTAGCAAAAACATTGGGAGACCCTCCCTCTGGTATACGGTAAGTGAAACATGTAAAGAAGCATCAGGCAGCTGTGTAGATTGCTTTTTCCCCCCTGATACTGCTTTATGCTACATGTTCAGATGTACACCATGTGGTTGTTGTTGTGGACATGAGGGAATATCAAGTATACTTTCATATTTTATCCACTTATTAAAAAATATAAATTCTCATTTATAAAAAAAAACCCCTTTGAGTTATTGCTTTTTCTTTATTAATATCAGAATCAGAATCAGAATACTTTATTGATCCCTGGGGGAAATTATTTTTTGTTACAGTGCTCCATTTTAAACCAACATTAAGACAAGACAGACAATACACTAACTAAGAATAGTACAATATATACTATATATACACATACATACTATCACTCATAAATAAATAGCTGGAAAAGAAACATGTGTAGTGTAGCAGCAAACAGTGTGTTAAGTGGATGCGTTGTACAGGGAGATGGCCACAGGCAGGAATAGATTTCCTGTGTCGTTCAGTGGTGCTTTTCGGTAATCTCAGTCTCTCACTGAACGTGCTCCTGTGACTGACCAGCATGTCATGGAGTGGGTGGGAGGTGTTATCCAACATTGTCTTTATCTTGGACAGCATCCGCCTCTCCGACACCACCTTGAGGGAGTCCAGCTCCATCCCCACAACATTGCTGGCCTTACGGATCAGTTTATCGAGTCTGTTGGCATCTGCGACCCTCAGCCTGCTCCCCCAGCATGCAACAGCATAGAGGATCGCACTGGCCACAACAGACTCATAGAAAATCCTGTATTTCACAAAGATACCTGTACTTGTGTAACAGCATATAACAAATATCAATACATAAATAAAACATTGTTATTGTGCAGAGCAGGTTTGAGCTGTCTCAAACTGTACGATTGAATCTCGTTAGAAGTTCATAGGTTAGAAGTTTGTAGGTCACGATGCAGGTTCTCACACTATACGGCCCGATGCTCTGATGCGACCTGAGTGCTCACACTGTGTGTCCATAACATGAAGGTTATAACCAGTGTTGGTCAAGTTACTTGAAAAAAGTAATCAGTAACTAATTACTGATTACTTCCCCAAAAAAGTAATCCGTTACTTTACTGATTACTTATTTTCAAAAGTAATTAATTACTTAGTTACTTTTTAAAAACACGATTTACAACCTGAATAGGTGATAAAGCGATAGATCTTTCAGCCCAATTCTACTTTTTCTGCATAATCCATCATACAAAATGTAATCAAATGGAAAAGTCTCTTTTTAAAACTTGTTTTATTAGTTTTAATCTTTTAACTTTATGCATCAAGCAAAAATTTAATTATATGCAACATTCTCTGACTGGAAGAAATTGTTTAACATTTAAACCTATTTTCTGCACATTCCAGCACATAAAATATTTTTTGTGTTTACACTCAGTCTTTCAAATAGATGCAAGTAAAACACAGCAGAAAATAAATAAAGTCAAAGACTCAGCGGTCCTGTTGCTCTATTTTCACCTGTAAAGCAGGAGTGGGGTAGGCGGAGGTTTACCCTGGTGCAGGTGTGCCGCGGTCAGTGAAGAATCCGCGAGTTTCTCTGTGAGTTTCCCATTACGTCGTATGCGCACTCGGTGCTTGCTTGGAAGTTTAGGGGTTTTTTCGCTGTAAAAAGAAGTTTTCTTCCCACGCACAGCGGACGCTAATGTTTTTGTCACTTTTTATGGAATCAAACTCAAAGTAAGGTCAGTACTTCCACGCTTTAAACGCTGCACGCTCATACTCTCTCCTGCACTTGATATATGATCCATTGTTGATCTGCACACAGCTGTTGTCACGAACGTCGCACTCGCTTACGTCACTGTCATGAGACATTCTCGCAAAAAAATCACGGTTTTAGTAACGCAGTAACGCAGCGTTCCTACGGGAAAGTAACGGTAATCTAATTACCGTTTTTGCAATAGTAATCCCTTACTTTACTCGTTACTTGAAAAAGTAATCAGATTACAGTAACGTGTTACTGCCCATCTCTGGTTATAACACAAAATCTGTCTCTCCCTCTCTGTCTTTCACTCACACAGACACTCATCACCATCATCAACTTTGCTAAATTGCTAATGAAAAACATTGACCAGGCAGCTGTGACTGAGCAGCAACGTCCATCCAACTATTTTCACAGTTGTTGTGGTCGTGGTTGTGATGGCTTATCAATCAGTTTGATCTGTTTGATTATTGATCAGTGATGTCAGAGCTGGAGTCAGTGTGATGTTGTTGTTGTGTGTTTGAGACTTTTAGTGTCCATGAAGGTCTCTGCTGCCGTAGATCCTCTGAACTGTGACAGAGGTCTCACTCTGGAGGAAACTCTCAGCACTTTCCAGCAGCTCCTCCATCATGGAGGACGTTCCCTCACTGTAACAGGTGGAGGAGAGAGGAGAGGAAGCACAGGTGGATCCTCTGAGGAAGAGGAGCGTCCTACAAACCACATGATCACATGACCAGTAAGTAAGTAAGTAAATTTATTTATATAGCACCTTTCACAGACATATGTCACAAAGTGCTTTACAAGGTAAAAACATAATACAGTCATAAAATACACATAAAACCCTGGTCTAATTAAAAGCTTTTTGAAATAAAAATGTCTTTAGCTGCTTTTTGAAGGTCTCCACTGAGTCCAAACCCCGTAGAAATAGGGGAAGTGCATTCCACAATCTGGGTGCAACAGCTTGGAAAGATCGGTCCCCTCGGGTTTTAAACGAGTGTGGGGGACCACTAAAAGGTTTTGGTTTGCTGACCTCAGGTTACGAGTGGAGGTGTGTGTATGAATCAGATCAGCAATGTAGGGGGGTGCCTGTCTCTGTAATGCTCTAAAAGTTAAAACTAGAATTTTAAAATGGAACCTGAATCTGATTGGTAGCCAGTGCAGCGACTTTAAAACAGGGGTCATATGAGCACCCTTGTTCGAGCGGGTCAGTAGCCTCGCTGCAGAGTTTTGAACAACCTGTAGGCGGGCTAGCCCTTTCATGTTTAGACAAGTAAACAGGCTGTTACAGTAGTCAAGTCTTGTAGAGATAAAAGCATGTATTATCATCTCGAGTTCACTTGTTGACACGATGGATCTAAGTTTAGAAATGTTCCTCAGGTGAAAAAAGCAGGTTCTTACTGTCTGATTTAAATGTCCCTCCAAAGAAAAAGCTTCATCAAGAATGACACCCAAGTTTCTAAGGTTATGTTTCTGGGAGGAACCTAAGTCACCCAGTCGCCGTTTAATATCAGGTATTGCACTGCCTGGTGCAATAATCAAAGTTTCTGTCACGGCAAGTGAGATGAGCCGTGTGGAAAATAAAGGAGGATTCAAACGCAGGCACTTGTAAAGGTGTGATGGTGGTTTATTAAACACAAAATAAAAATGGACAAAGGTGAACCGAACAAGGACTAAACTAGACTGGGAACAAACTGACTACAGAACACGAACCTGAACATGAATGAAAGCGAGCAGAAACACTTGGCGGTTGACAGCAGGAAAACACACAGATGAAGCAGGGTGGAAACACAGACGGACCAGCAACTACAATGACAGAGGACACGACTTAAATACACACAGAGAAACACAGGGGACTTACACACAGCTGAGAATAATCAACAAGGTGAGACAGAGGTAAAACTGAACACACTCACATGAGACGCAGACCTTCACAATAAAACAGGAAATGAGAACACTACACCAAGACGCAGACCTGACACTGAGAGACAGACAGACAGAATGACACATGGAACCTGAACTAAACTAAACGTGAGATACAACCGAGAACAAATCCTTAAACATGAATAAACAGAAACATAGAATTCTAATAATAATAATACTCATAGCGCCCAAAACCACAACAAACATTCAAAAATAAACTAATCAATCAAAACTCAAAACACTGGGTCGAAACTGACCCAGCTGAAACCAGCATGAACTAACAGTTGTACAATGAAAGGGAAATAAATGAGATGGAGACTTGGAGGGCTACACATCTGCTGTACTCTCATACATCTGCACTGAGAGTGTAACAACAACAAAGACTGTGAAAGTGTTCCCAAAGCAGAAGCCATGGCTCAACAGTGAGGTGTAAGCTCTACTGAGAGCAGCGCCTTCAGATCAGGAGACCAACAAACCTACAAAGAGGCGTCTAATCTAATTCAAACAGCGCATCGAGGAACACTTTAACACAAACCACTCCAGAAACATGTGGCAGGGGATCAAGACACTCACTGGCTACAAGGACAATCGCACACAAACAAACTCCCCGCACATCACCTCACCTGACACCATAAAGCAGTTCTTCATGACCAACAAAACAGTGACACCAACACCTATCCTGCGTTATAGAGAGGGACGACGCCCCCATCCAGCTGGAGCAGCATCAGGTCAGAGCCACACTGAGAGTTTATGCAAGGAAAGCAGCTGGTGCTGACGGTGCAGCCGGTGGAGAGCTTAAAGCATGTGCAGACCAACTAGCAGAGGTTTTCACCACCATCTTCAACCTGCTACAGTCTGTAGAAGGCAAACAGGTGGACAGAGGACGCCATAATTACAGCTCTTCACACAACCCTCACACATCTGGACAGTAGTAAACACAGAGTGAGAATGCTATTTGTGGACTTTACCTCTGACTTATTTTCCTGAACCAGACCCTGCAGGATCCACCTGAGGGTCCCAGTCCTGGACCCTG